AAAACTGATGAGGCAATACCATCAATTCCTAACTGGCTTAGAGCAGTTAGAAACTAATGAAATCTCAATGCTAAAAAAACTAAAAAAGTAGTCTTTACAACAAAAAATAAAAAAACAAAAAAGCTAAATTTTTATATTAATGGAGAGATATTAACTTTATTAAAACCAGTAAGGTATCTTAGAACTATGCTGGATAAAAATCTAACTTTTAAATACCATCACTCTTATTTACAATCAAAAAATTGATCAGTTGGTATGTTAGCACTTTGTCTACTTTATGTAGGCGCTTTGTCTACTTAGGAACTGTAACCATAATTTATTACGCCATATTTGGATCTCACATAGAACATGCTTGTCAGATCTGGAGACAAACTAAAAATTAATTCTTAAATTAAATTTCTTTACTTTAAAATAAAGCCATTAAAATAAATACCATCAAAATAAATCCATTAAAATTACTTTCAGAATGACCGTTTAGACAATGTCTCTTTTTCATGTAAATTATCACAGGTTTTAAAACACCATGACAACATCAAACTTATGAATTATACCTTAGTAAGGAATTACTTGCATGGTAAATTCCCAAATGCTTTTACTTCCTTCTTCTCCAAAACAAGTAGCTAGCATACCTATCACCTTAGATCCTCATCATCTAAAAATATATGAGCTGAACACAGTCGCACAATAAAATATAGCAAAAAGACTATAAAGCATCAATGTACCAATAAGTGGAACAGTCTCTCCCACTCTATAAAAACTGAGAGATTAAATTCAAGATTACTCATTAAAAGCAAATCATTACCATACTTAATGTCTATACTTCATTAAATTATTATTTCTATATTTAGTATTTATTATTTTATTTGCATTCATCAGTTTTTATCTTATATATTTAGTTATTATTAGTATTTTTCCTTTGTCTTATCTATTATATTACTTAAATTTAATAATTCTTTACTCGTTAATAATTATTTTTCTTCTACTATTTATACTATTAAATATTATTATTTACTATTTTATTATTTTAATCAGTTATTATAATTATTACTATTGTTATTATTATATATAGATGACCTTAATTTTTGTTCCTTGAGTCGCCGTGTTGGGTTTGTCTGTTATATTACTATTATTAGTAGCATTTTTTTTGTTTTGTTTTTAATTTATACCATAAGATTATAATCTTGTTTGTTCTTTTTTCTTACAAAGTCTCTGCTTTGAATCAGTCTTGTACTATTTGATTTTTCCCCTCACAAAAATATTATTTTAATACTTATACAAAATTTTTAGCGGTATTTATTTTTTTTGAAAAAATATATATATTGATTGAATGATTGGTTTGTACCATACTCAGCTAATCGGCACTGCTCTGCTAAATGTACCTACCTGAAATGTATTAGTTACATAGTTCTCTTTGTTAACTTAACTCAAGTCTTTGTGACATTATTGAAAATTGCACATTAGAAAAAAAACTAAAATCCGATTTTTTGTAGATGTGTAAACTTTACATCGATAGCAGTTCCTAGAGAAGATTTTTCACTGGAATATTTCACTAGATTCACTTTACACTTAATTAATTTTAAACCATTAGTGTTTGATTCCATCTTGTTTTAAAAGCTTAACAGTTATCTACTTTTTTGCAAGTGAGGCTCAAAAAAGTTGTCTTTAGCCCACTACATGGGGTAACATTGGCCCGGGCTAAAGCCATCCCATGAATATTTTTTTTTTTAGTAATCATTTGTAGATGTTATGGTATTTATTATGTTGGAATAATAAATTTTTTAGTTGCTAAATCACTAAAAAAGTATAGTGATTGGTTACGTTTTTAGTTTAAATATGCCACAAAATTACAAGCCTAATCGTAGAAGAAGAAAATATGTTGCTTATACATTAGAACAGTTAAAAAATGCATTAAAATGTTTAGTTACTCAAAGACAAACAACTACCAAGGTCATATATATATATATATATATATATATATATATATATATATATATATATATATATATATATATATATATATATATATATATATATATATATATATATATATATATATATATATATATATATGTATATATATATATATATATATATATATATATATATATATATATATATATATATATATATATATATATATATATATATATATATATATATATATATATATATATATCTTTAGTGTTGACATCGTGTATAAGAGTATATGTTGTATTAGTCAGAAAACATCAATTAATACGAATTCATTTAATACAATTAATAATTTATCATTAGAACTTTTCGCTGGATTATGATTACCAGCATCATCAGCTCGTAAAAATTATACAATAAAATTTTTTTGTAACGTTAGAAACAGTTTAAAATTAACTGACGTCAGCAATTGAATGGCTTCTTTCTTGCTTATGTAAAAATGTAAAAAACGGAGTCCAAAATTTAGTTTTCACAAACTGCCCGTTATCTAAATTAATTCCGCCATGTAAAGATGAACATTGGAACCTCTGTATTTCTAGAGCTTCGCGCACTTTTCGATCAAATTTTTTTGTTTCAACTTTAATTGTTTTTACGTTTTCCCAGTTTATTTCTTGTGAGCAAAACTTATGTTTCTAATTTTTAAATGTTGTTGAGTGCGAATCCTAATTTGAAGTTTAGTTTTGCTTACGTATCTCTATGAGCATTTGCATTCAATCAAATAAGTTCCTGGTTGACTATTTTGTGGTAATTTAGTTTTGTTTTTTGACGTCAGTAATGTTTTTAAATCTGGATTTGATTTGAAGACTACTCTATAGCCAGCTTTCCAAAATATTTTCCTTAGTTTTGGGGATAGCGATGGTATCCACGGCAACGATACAGTAGGGATGTTAAGAGAGTCTGATTGAATTTTATTGATTTTTAGAGACCATTTATTTCCAATTAATTTTGCAATCCGTTTAAGTTGGTATTTGTTGTATCCATTTTCGTTAAACATTTGATTAAAGAAATTATTCTTATCTTGTAAATATAAATTACTGCATAAAGAATAAGCCCTGTGAACGTAACCTTTAAATATTGCGTTTAGAACCTTAGGGTCATGATTTGAGTGATGTTTAATTTGGATAGTAGTTATGGCTTCCTTTCTGTAAACTTTAAACTCGTATTTTCCTTTGTTGTTATTTATTATGGTTAAATCGAGGAAGTTTAGAGTTCTATTTTCGCTTTCAGTTTCGATCGTATATTGTATTGCAGGGTGTTGTATACAACACCCTGCAATACAATATACGATCAATATTTACAAAACATTTGCAACCAACATCGAACAATGCTAAAATGTATTCCTAATTTTACATGTCTTAAAAACGAAACGAACTATACTACTACAGCAAACAGTTCAGGAGTCTGGAGTCATAGCATGACATGACATGAGCAATCAGCTGACAGATGACAGCACACATGCAGAATTTCGTTGACAAGTGCCATTTTGCAACGGACAAAACAAGTGCAACTGTTTTGGTTTGTTTTATTTTCTTAAGTCTGGTCCGAGTCAACGTCACGGAAGTTTTTTAATAATTAAAGGAAGTATCCAGACGTTGTGTTCTACAGAGCATTATTGTATCATCACAAGGTAAATGTAACAAAGTAAGCCTTGAGAAGCGTGATTATTTTATTTTTATTATTTTTATGACTTCAAGTACAAAAATGGCTCCCGACAGTCTTGAATCGGAACTAAGGAAGAAAATTATTGGCGATTACGTGAGTGGAATGTCACATAAAAGTATTTGTGAGAAATATCGCGTGAAAAAATGGACCATATCAAGACTATGTTCCAAATATTGTTCTACAGGGAAGTTGGCAGCAGATAACACAGGTGAAAGACCGCGTTCTACCAACTCTAGAGAGGATTCTATGATCGTCAGATCCATCAAGAAGGATCCCTGGATATCATCAGTCGATATACAAAAACAATTAGAGCTACCTGTATCGGACCGAACAATCAGACAACGTGCTGTTGAAGCCGGATTGTTTTCTCGACGCCCTGCGGGGAAACCGCTGATTTCACTAATGAACCAGAAGAAAAGACTCCTGTTTGCTACATCTCATATTGACTGAAATGTGCAGAAATGGCGAACTGCCCTGTTCAGTGATAAATCGAAGTTTAACATCATTGGGTGCGATGGCATTTGCCGTTTACGTCGACCGGCCGGAAAACGCCTCGATTTACGTTACTGCCATAAGACCATAAAGCTTGGTGGAGGCAATGTAATGGTCTGGGGGTATTTTTCTGCTAACGGTCTAGGTCCAATACATCGAATCGATGGAATAATGGACCATTTCATGTATAAAAATATCCTGAAAGATGCTGTTACCTCATACTGTATGGAATATGCCAATAAAATGGGTATTTCAGCAAGACAACGATCCGAAACACACTGCAAAAGTAGTCAAGCAGTGGTTTCAAGACAACCACCTATCGGTGATATATTGGCCACCTCAATCTCCGGATCTCAACCTTATCGAAAACTTGTGGGAGATCGTCAACTGCAGAATTAATCGTGAAGGTGTTCGTAATAAAGATCAGCTTTTTGAACAAATCCAAAAGGCCTGGGCAGCGATTCCGCAAAATTTCATTGATCACCTGATCGAATTTATGCCTCAAAGATGCAAGGTTGTGATCGACAACAAAGGATTCGCCACGAAATATTGATAGCGAAACAAATTAAAAAAACAAACGAAAAAAACTTGGTCAACATTTTGTGGAGTTGCACTTGTTTTGTCCAGAAGGAAATTTTTTTTATTACTTTTGATTAATTTATTAATTTTCGTGTACAAATAATTAACTTTGTGATGAATAAAACTTGAAGAACGTTGTCTCTAAATAGTTACATAGTTATTTCTCTAAATTGAAAAAATGCAGCACTTTTATATAAAGAAACTAAATTAGCATTTTTTGGTTGCACTTGTTTTGTCCGATACTGTACATGTAGGCACATGTACTGTACATGTAACACAAATAATACGCGTAGAGACGCGTATTGTTTGTAAATACGCGTATTTCAAATAATACGCGTAGAGATTTGCTGAATTTTTATAATTTTAATAGTTTTTTGTTCATAAAAATTTAATAATTTTTTAGACGCTCTTTTTAATTTTTACCTTTTAAATAAGTACTCTATCTTTATTTATTTATTATTACCACATGTAAGCACATCCCTTACCCATTATTATATAATCTCCTGTTCCAGTCATTTAATAGTTTATTGTTTTAATGTTCTATTGTTAAAGATCATAGATCATTTATCAAGAATCATTTATCAAGTATCACAGGCCATTTGATTCTTGAACATCAGATGTTAAATCTTTATCATCTGTTTTCTTACTTAAACACTTCGGACCTGAAAATGCAATCAATAGAGCTCCCAAAGGAGCCGTCACCAGAATAGAAAGGACAGCAATAGTTAAAATTTCTATTCCAACACGTCCTTGCCACTTTTTGTAAAGACCAAGTGATTTTGCTGTTGAATATGGAATAGAACCTATAGCAGCCTAAAAAAAAAAAAATACCTATGATTAAGAAAAGACGTAAGTCTGAAAATTTTTATTATAATATATAATATTTATTTATACTAATATTATTATAGTATCAAATAAGGATCTGTAAAACAAGTAATGTTATTGTTAATGTTAAATATGCTAACTCTATCAAAATGGAGTTTTATTTTTTATTTAATAATTAATCAATCAAACATACTCTGAACAAGTTATTTTAGAAATATTTAAATAAAGTAAAAAAGATAATAATAAAATAGTATTCTTAATAATAATAATAATAATAATAATAATAATAATAATAATAATAATAATAATAATAATAATAATAATAATAATAATAATAGTAATAATAATAATAATAATAATAATAATAATAAGGATAAAATATAATTTGGGGATTTTATATATATTTTATAAATATTTTGCTTTGAGTTATTGTTAATAATAATACTTTATTTAAAATTCTATATGAAATAAAAAATCTGTGTCTAGCTCAATATTTTTATATATTTCTTTATATATTAGTTTTTTTGTTGATATTTTTTGTAATTAAGTTCAATAACAATTTTATACACAGTTTTATGTTCTAGCATGCCATCCAAGATGATATACTGTAACATTTTAGTATGTCATCCAAGATGACATACTAAAACATTTTAGTATGTCATCCAAGATGACATACTAAAACATTTGAGTCATAAAATAAATATTTTTATTATGTTATAGTAATAACACTATTTTAGTTGACAATATTTTGCTAAGTTTATGGCAGACAATGTTTTTGGTAGACAATAATTTGCCATCTAAAAAAATCAGTCAAAAAAAACATTTTTTTAAAACTCATTCCAGTGCCTGATTGTCTTCCTTATATTCTGAACCATCTTGATTTGGATAACTGAATATTAATTTTTCAATTAGCCGGTGCTCTGGATCAAATTTTAAACTGGATTTTATAAATTAGTTTATTACTTGAAAAGTATTAGTTTAATATTAATTCAATATTAACTTAGTACATTAAAAAAAAAAAAAAAAAACATGCCAGACAAGTTATGTTGATGGGTTGACCTGTAACTGTTGCTCAATCAGCCTGAAAATTTGCAGGTCAATACTTACAATTTTTATATCCTATTGGACAAAAACAAGCTACGCGGAGCAATAATTTTACAAACTTTAACTTTTCTGTATGTTTTTATTTGGTTTTTTGAATTATTTAGTGGATGGCAGGCCACCTGAAATGAACAAAGCTCATAACTTCTGTATTTCACAATCTATTATTTAAATAGTTAACTTTGTGACACATTTACCAGACAGTCCTAATCTTTCCTAATCAGTCCTTGATTTGTGTCTTGCCTCTGACCCTAGCTTGTGTTTAGTTTCTCTT